TTCAAGCTTTAAAACCCTTTTTTTAAATTTGAATTTCATTCATTATTGACGAAGATATTGTATATACAACTTTGAGCTAAAAAATACACGATGACTTTTTACTACACCTAATATATTTGACAATGCGATTATAGCATTTTCTGAATTTCCTTACCATCGGATTTTTACCTGAGTCATTTACAGAATATTTTGTAGCTTTAGAATTCTCAAGCCCTTCAAGAATTTTACCATTTCGACCATTCATTTTTATTTCGTAAACTGTCAATTATTGTTTCAGAGGTTTTATTAGGCACGTAAAGATTAACAAAAAAAAAAGGTTATTTTAGTCGAAAGACATAATGTAAAATATGTGGTATTTTATTCTTAAGGTTCTGCCTTTGATGATTTCTTCTAATGTCTCGATTTTCAATGCTTGTCGTCATGTTAACGACGTGGATAATTACCGTCTTGAAAATACAATATATTTTGATGCTATGGACCTTCCGACAATTCAACAACGGTTGCTTCATTTGTTTTCAGTCGAAAACTTTGGTTTTTTAACTAAATCTTCGGCTCTACGGCACACGGAAAAATCTCCGGCCAATTGTTTAAAACTTTAATATTTTTTTTTTTAAGTACGCGCGATGATTTTTCTTCGGCGGTTTTTGGAAAGGGCAGGAATGACAAATCTAACGACCTTTTTTTTTTTAGAGAAAGCAATACAAATTTTCGATGGGATAATACTCGAAATCTCCAATGGAAGAGTATCGATAGAATACTAACTGAAAAGTGGCAACTGTGTATCCTAGAACTGTGCAGTCTAGAGCTTTAAATTTACAAGAGTAGTACATTGCTTTTATCTGGAGAATGCCGACAATCAGAAGCGGAACCAGAAATTTCAGCACCCGAGATAAAAAAATACGCTCTTTAAAAAATATTTTCTTTATAATATATAAAGTATAATAAGAAATAATATTAAATAATATATTAATATTAATTTAATAGAATCACGTGTATACAGGAGAACAGTTGTACATATAGATCTACATATGTATGTTACAAACGAAATATAGTTACCAAAATCGTACCTAAAATTTTTCGTGCTTCAATAGTTGCGAACTTATTATATCAATTATTATATTAATTATTATATCAAAATATGTATCCTTACATGTACATATATCATTTTCAATTAAAAGAATTTTTATATTTGATAATTTCCCCGATTTGAGTGATTGATCTTAAATAATTTTTTATTAACTTCAATTTACTGAAATTTACGTCTTTCACATGAAATTATTTTACCGGAATAGTTAAAAATATTCTCGTGGCTACCTCTAACTTTGGATACAGTTTGGTTAAAGAATAATCATGAATTAATTCCATAACATCTAAAATAGAAACTGATTCTATATTTATAGCATCAAGTAGACCGTAAATCGAAATCATCATTAGTAACCAATTAAGATATGTAGAAAATCACATTGCCATTTTTGCACTCCTTTAAATTTTTTACATGTGACAAGTGTCTTGCATCTATTGACTGCTTTCCTTATTTCGACTTATTAACTGCCGTTATTTATCTAATTAGTCTATCATTCGATAAGCGCTTAGTAATTTTTTAATATAGTTAGATACGTCAGATCAAATTTGACGATCATTTAAGCTACTCTTGTAAATCTAGAGCTTTAATTCAGTCAGCTACAATGCGCCCTCGCTGGGATAACGGATTCTCGGATCGTTACTAAAATTAATAGTCGGCTAATACAGATCGGGAACGAGCGGATGCGCGATGCGTAGATTCGTGCGATCGTCGTAAATCCTGCGAAAAAGATGGAATGTCGATTCGGTTTGGTTGGATGCTGGAGCGGCATAAACGTTTCCGCTCTCGTGTTACTTACGAGATGCGACATTAATCTATCGAGGATTCCGCGAAACTCAGCTCTATCATTTTCATCGTCAACAATTTCGCTCGGATTTTACGCGGAAATGTCTGGGCCGCTCGTTTATCACGAAGAATGTAAACAAGGGATTAATGTGAGAAATTAATTATGTAGAATTATGTGTTGGAAAATATATAGCGATATGCAAGTGTAATAACGTTATTTTCAACAAGATATTAGAAAAAAAAGTCTTGCAGAAAAGAATATCGTGGAGATTCAATAAAGAAAAATGTCGACTTTACGCGAGTGAATTGAGTCTCCATTTAAGCTTTTCTTCCAATTTTGTTCTGTTCTTAAATATTGATACGTCAGCATGCATAAATTCATAACAATCCATATTTCGTCGATACACAATTAAGTTTCCTACGTTTTTTGAATATTTTGTTTTTCAAAACGTGTAAGTGTAAAGTAAAATTATTAAATAATAAATATAAATGTGAATATAAAACGATAAACGCGCGAATAACGCTCTTGAGCAAAATTGCAACGATGGATGGTCGGCCGCCGGGATGCAAGCAACAATTAAACATCGAGTTATTTTCACGTCTACTTAGCTTATTTTCACAACGCGGTCATCAATATTTCCGCCGGTAGTTCCGCCAATAAGTACAAATATAAAAACATATTTCGCGTCCAAACATGAAACGTCGCACGAGCGGCAAGCAATAAACATTCGATGGGTTTTCACTGATAATACTTTCGTAAGTGCACGGCCGTGCAAACAAAACGGTGATGCGTGTGTTGCAAATGGATTTCGTAGCGGGATGTGAAAGAGAGGCAAAACATAATTCGAGATTTTTCCGTTTATTTCGTATCGTAGGTGTGTCTTACGTACTGATACGTAATAGCGTACTAATAATAATATTAATATCAATATGTTCCGCACGTACAGGTATATACGTGCATGTATTGTTATATATATATATATATACGTCATATATACACATATAGATATATATGTATACATA